ACATCTTGAGCACTATCTATTGTCCTCTTGACAAACTGAACCTTTTGTCCTGCTTTCGCGGGAAGAAGCAGCCAGATGTATATTTTGTCGTCATCAAGTCGTAATACAACTGTGTTTGTGGAAATCCAATTAAATGTATTATTCATTAATGCCTGTGTTGTTGATAGCGAGTGAAAGGAGCCGATTCCATAACGTGATCTCAAAATGTCTACCAGAGATTGGGCACGTCCATTTTCCGCCGCGACAAGAGCCTCTGAAACCTTATTTAGTTTAAGTAGTGTTCTACATAGGGCAGTGTTCACACATTGTTGCACATCGAAAAAGTTGATCTTCCATTCATCTTGGAAGAAACTGTTCTTTTTTCGAGGAAGATGAGCTCGTATCTCTTCAAAAAGCTCCGCGCTTGACCTGTAATATTGCGCAGCCTCTGTTAAGGATTCAAGTGATTCGAAATTACGACCTAGTTCATATTTCGCACGAGCTTCATCGGTTCTCCTTCTCTCCGTTTTAGCAATACTCAGTTGTCTTTCATGATATTCTATGGCTTTTTTGAACTCGTGCAGACTGTGATGGACTCTCCCTAAGTTTCCATACGCCTTTATCAATTCATTCCTATTGCCAATTTCACTGATAATCGATAGTTGTTTGTAGTAATATTCTTTGGCTTTTTCTACTTCACCAAGGCTATGGAAAATACTGCCAAGTTGTCCATACGCAAAGCCCTCTTGTGATCTATCTCCCAACCTCTTGGCAATAATCAAGTGTTGCTCTTGGTATTCTACAGCTTGTTCATAACCACTGAGGTACTGAAAAACACTACTGAGTCTTCTATAGGCTTGACATTCCCCTTCCATGTTACCCAGTTCTCTAGAAATTCTTAAATAAAGCTCGTAGAACTCCTTAGATTGGTCAACCTGGCCAACGCTGCTGTAAGCGTCCCCAAGTTTGCAATACGCATCCCCCTCGCCAATGCGGTCTTCCAATTCTTTGCAACAACCCAAAAATTGTTTGTAATAGTCTATTGCCTTTTCAAAGTCGCTGAGCTCCGAATACTTATCACCAAGGATGAGATACTGAGCGCCTACGTTCTTTTTGTTCCCTACTTTTTTGGCAATATCGAGGTTTAGCCGATTGAAGTTTTTCTGACAGTGGTACTTGTTTTCCTGTAAAATAGATAAAACTGAATCATTTCGCTTGTATTGAACTAGGTCCAGTTGTCCAAAGGGAGGATGACGTTATCCAGCAGATAAATCGTTGTCCATAGAATGAATGTTAACAAAACGTTCCTCAGTCGCAATCCATCGGAAAGAGATTTATCCAGTGGATTGCTTTATTCTAGACCCTTCAAACAACCGGGGCTGGTGAAGCCGATTGCGGCCTTAATTAAATATTTCATTGTAGCAAAGCAAAATTCATACGGGAAACTCATTTCAGAATATTGAAGATATAGTCGAGTCTGTATGAATTGGTAGCCCACGGAAAATGGCAGGGTGACCGCTAAATACCGATTGGCCACCTGATGCAGTTCCACGAGGTATAATAGAGAGTTTTAGATCCGTGTTCACCGCAAACGTCAAACTGCGGTCAGCGGTTTGTGGTTAGAGGTTAGAAGTTTCGAGACTTTCAGCTTTTTAGATCAACTTTTTATTTCAGCGATCATCGGTAACGAAACTATTTTATCAAAACAAGACTTTCCCGAGTAATATGCTATCCTTTTTAAAGTAGAAGGATAGCATATTACTTGGGTGACGTCTTTTTTTTTTTAGGATAGTTCTTAACTTTACAGTGGTTGCGAAAAGAAACTCGCAACTAGTATATTTTTTTAGGTAATACCGCACGTTTGTCAAATTTTCAAAGTTTTGAAAATGTCTTCTATTAAATTCGTCCATGAAGCTTTTAACTACTTTTCCTGAAATACATTCATTCGAGGGAGTGTTATGCAAAAACGAAAAATAAAAAATTCGATTATGTGGGACTGTCTGTCGATTCTCAACCTTCTCAGAAATAAGCTCTTAATGTGCAAAAAAAGGCGCAAAAATACCATTAATATTGATTTCGGAAAATAAACATAAATTAAATTTTTCTTTAAAGGTTATTCTTAGTTTTATTTAGGTGGTTTCCTTAAAGTGATCGTTAAATACAAGTGGAGGATAATACTATCACGCTTTTGGGACTCAGTAAAGAGGTGACCACTACTGTTTAATAGAGGTGACCGCTCTTTTCAGGTGAAAATTACATACCTCCTACTGACAGAGTTCGAGGGCCGTACAGTAAGTTACGGACCGAGCTTTTCCCGCTCGGATTTATAGCCCAAGCGCGAAGCGTGCAGGCCGTAAATCGAGTGTAACTTACGGTACGGACCGAGAAAAACGAAGTCAGTAAGATTTTCATTTTATCTCTTGTTTTATCTGTTATCAAATCCTAAGTATAAGAGCATTTTATTGGCTTCCAATATAAACCGGACTTCGAGTCGTCAAAAGATCAAAATATTCGTTGAATATCCACTGTTCCAAAACAAACTTTTGAATTTAGCGGGCTGTGAAATACGGCCCGCTGAATAGACCAATCATAGCGCACGTACTAACCGATTTATATAATGAAATAATTTAAGGAAAAAAAAAACCGGAACTTTGATAACCGACCGTTTAGTACAGGGCGACTGCTTAACACGGTGCCCTTTAAGACTTGAACCCTTCGATCCTACTAACCTTCTGATATCACATTTATATTCAATGGGGCCTAACGAAAAAAAAGATATATTAAAATGGCTGACATGCCCTTTTTCGAGTTAAGTGTGAGCAAATCTTCTGATTATGATTAGTACATGTTTCCTTGAAAACGATTCATAGTTTTTTCTTTCTTGGCCTGTTTTTCTCAAAGACGCCAAATAAATGTGAATAACTCTTTACGATGATTATCCAACATTACAAAAAAAAAAAAGGTTCATCTGGGTTAAGAAAATTCAGTTAAATCTTCATGTAGAAATAATAAAATGTCGACTGAGTTTAACACATGTCAAAAAATAACTTTGTGAAGAGTATGTAACTCCAACCTTAGCACACACGTGATGTTCATTTTCGATGTAAATCTCTTATAAAACAAACAAACAAACAAACAAAACAAACAAAACAAAACAAAAACAACTAATCAAACTGAGCATGAACGAGAGAAAATGATAGAAAACTTTTCTCTTGGTGTCAAACCGAAAAATAAGTCTTCACTCCCTTAATGTGCTGTACATGTACGTTCTGTCTTTTCAATCACCTTACTTACCACGTTGTTCTCAATATCTGCCTTTTTAACAGACGGCTGTTGAGTTTTCTTTGCCTCGATCTCAGTTTTCAGTTCTAAGAGCCTCTGGTTTTCTGGGTGAATCTTTTTTAAAGTCAAGATGTATAACGTGACAAGACATAAATCTGACGATAATCCATGAAGAGCAATTCAAATGAAGTAGAGCACAGCCGTTTGACCTCTCGTGATGAATTAAAAGAAAAAGAAAAAACGACTAAAACAAATACGAAAATAATTTTTAAAAAATCAAGCAAACAAACACAATCAACAAAATGGTTTTCGTTTTGGTTTATCAGTGTGTATATCTTGTTTATGTGGTCTTTTTAATTTATAAAAATGAAAACTTGAAGTTTATACAATTTGATTTGTTTTTACCATTTGATTTTCATACGAAGATGGTTTTGTCTTTTAAAAAAAAGTAAGAAGGTCAAGAGTCTCAAAGATATTTTAATCCCTTAGAGAGCTAGAGACAGATACTTGCAATTTTTACTTCACATATTTTAGCAAAACTGAGCTGAAAAATTTCCTTTTACAACTTTCACTTAAAATGTGTGAGCATATTATGGATACTTCTTGTCCCTCGCCGCACCAGGTGGCGATTGCTTCTATGTCAAGATTACGCGTCATGCAGGCTTCTGATGCTGAGGATAGAGACATTCGTAGTGATAAATTAAAGCCGGAATATGGAGATCTTTTTTAATCCGCAGAAAGCCTACAGCTCTTTCTCCAAAATCAGTGAGTCGATGATATGTTAAAAAACTGGATCAAGCTAACAGCTAACAAGAATCATATGTGTGATTGACAGATGACGGACAATCCGCCGTGCTCTTCCCTTGAGTACTGCGTCTAGCACATAAGTGAATGGACCTAGGGAGCGTCCATTGCACGTGGTAAGTGGAAAAAGAAGGGGAAAGCAACAATAACAGTCTGACATGTCTTGAAAGAAATTGCAAAAAAAAAAAATAAAACTATTACTTACCCAAATGATAATTTACTGTTTCTCTGTTTAAGTTAATATTTATCCCTTCTGTGTATTAATGGATAGTCTTTCGATATTTTCCTTTGATTAATGCTTCATCACCTTGATTGCTGAATACTTCTGTTATTACTGAAAGAAAGAAATTATTTTTCTATAGTAATAGTCTGTAAATAAAATGTTTAATGTTAAGGAAGAAACACGATCAAAAGATCAACGTACCAAAATATGTTTGTCCTCTTTCTTCATTTTCCTTGTAAACATTAGTTAACCATGGCTTAAAAAGAAAGAAAAAAACACGCGTTCCCTTCGGAGTACCACTGACAGAATGCTCCACCAAATCCAGAGTAGCTAAATATGTATGTGTTCAATTATACCGAAAACAATTTAATTAAACCGAACGTAGAACAAAACAATGATGATACTGGGAAAGAAACAACTTACTTATATACTCGATCGCAACAAATGCCAAGTTTTAATCATACTCAACACTCTAAGAATACAACGATTAAATTGTTCAGTGCGTTAAACGTTAAAGGTGTTTGTAGCTCCTAATTCGTGCCTACAGTTTGACGTCAATACCCGGGACATCGGCTGTACGCTTTGTCGAAAGAGAACTGGTCGCCGTTTCTATACTGGCATATTTTGCAAACCAAAATTGCTGAGTAATGGTCACTCTTAACTCGAAACAGTCGGTGATTCTATCGTTTTTCGGGTGTATTGTAATTTCGATCGCTAAAGGTGTAATTTCTGTTCGAAGAAAACCTGCCTCATTGTCTAACTGGATGTTTACTCGGCTTGATTACTAGAACATTTGTGGAATTTTCATTGGAATACCTGTAAACAAATAGTTCAATGTTATGCTTGTATCGTTCTGCGAGCTACGTAATAGTGCTTTATCCGACTAGAACTTTACACTCCGCATAGCTAACATTATCATTTGTGTCTCGATGGAATTCCGAAAATGAGGATTGTTAGGAATGCCCGATGTGTATCGAAGGAATCGCTTTAACGGTAAATCCTTAACATATTTATAAGCTGTAAGCATAGAATAGCTCTTTTTCTAGCCCATCACAGATTATTATAAAAGGAAGGGGATTTCACAAAACTGACAGAATCATCGCACACCATATTGTATGGGCTTAACGACATTAAGTATGTGTGGACTTTAAGCGCCTATGAGACGAATTTTTTTTTGGCATTTTCTGGTTAAAAGCTGTATATAAAATTAGAAATAATCGACCTTACCGCCAATCGAATTCTCCTTGACCATTTTTTTAAGCATTGAAAGTACGATTGAGCGGCCAAAAAGTGTCCCTATCGAGCGCGCAGCGAAAACGATCATGTTACATAGCTGTGACGTAAAAACCGTGAAGACGCTTCTGCGACTATGGTGGAGAAAGAAGAAATGTAGAAGAAAGGACGAACGTATTGCACGGATCGCCAAATGATGTTAGCTACAAGAATAGGACATATACACCGGGGTATTCCTATACACTTCTTTCTAAAGGATGTAGCCGTATGGCGAAAGTGGACGCGTTTCGATTGTTGACATTGAAGAGATTTTACTCTTCGATGTCGAAAGATTTGTGTCAAATAAGAGTTTTCACAGTTTTCTACGTTATCATCCTCTAACTTGTTCCCAGTCCATGGGACACATTATAGAGAAAATAAGGGCACCTTAGGGCCAAAAAAAACTGAGTTTTAAGCTTTCCGGATATTGTTCTTCTATGGGAGTTAGTTTGTACATATGGTAAGCTAAATATTTATGCAAAAAAATCGTGTCACTGATAGGCACTTTAACGATCGACAGTCGTTGTAGTTTCCCTTAATAGCTTGTTATAAACGCGCTAATACTCTAACATTATCCCCCATCTGTACACTTTTGTGTCTGTTAATGACAATGATAGTATTAACTGGAACTTCAAACCATTTCTCATTCCCGAATGTCACGAAGTCATTAGAATACAATTTGCGCGATTCTGATCATGTACTTGTTGCATATTAACTAAACCATATAATAAAAAAAAGTTTATTAATTAACTAACTCGTCACACGTGATTGAAAAAGGGCATTTCACAAAACTGACAGAATCATATCGTAAACTATTGTATGGGCTTGTTGCTCTTATGATTATTATTTTTTCCTTTCGCGTACATTTTCCTTGCATTTACTTGTTCAGTGCCACCTGCCACTGCTTTTTAAAGGTTCTTTCCCATCATCCTTTGTAGAATGATAGCTGAATAACAGGTAAATTAAAACTATAATTGTTAGGGAATTACCTTATGTCGAGAGTTCCAATTCCGTCCTCACAATTCCTGTTGAAGAACTGTTACTCTGTACCAGCTCGCACGATTGTAACTTTCCTAGTGAAGCAATAAATTGTGACGCACTTAAATGAGGTGTTTGAAAGCAAAATTGTTTGGCATTCTGTGAGACAGATTGGGTACAACTAAGAGCTAAATGGACTTAGATAGGCAGATATGACCCATTGAAAGGTAAGACAGGGAATCCCCCGCACCGCACTGTTGTTTCATGCATACGGAACAGTCGACTTCCGTTATTGCGGACACGAAGCCATGAAAGTGTCCGGATTTCCGTAAGAGCGAGAGTCCTTAAAAACGGGAGTTTATTTCAGTCGTTTCTCTATGCGTTCGCCGTGGGAGATTTTGTCCGCAATATAGCAAGGTGTCCATAGGGCGAGAGAGTCCATTGTATTTCGACAGGACCTCTTGATTGAGTTGGACGAACGTGATGATTTCACAATAAACTATTGCAGCTTGATGTTCTATTTGAATATCAATTAATACTAATCTGTTCATAAGATTAAAAGTTGTATCAATATCTATTTGAAATCATTCGGTTCCACATCACCTCAGCTGGTCCTCGAATAAGGAGAGGAAAGGTTTATACTGTTCTGCAAAACGAAACGAAACTGACGAGACGAACCAGGCGAGATATTGCTGATATATTTTGTATAATTTAGAAGAGTTTCTATTTTGCGAAATCGACTAATAGTCCATTTCGATCGCAAAATAGTATCTCCTAAAATTACTATTTTGCGAAATATCTTTCAATACGGTTAAAGAAATAAGAGGAGACTAAAATCTTTGGTGATATACTAATTTGTAATGTTCAGATGTATCTCTGTGACATGAAAGAGGTCACGTTGTCACCGCAAGGTGAAAATAGTCTGCATTATTCCTTTAAAAAGTTTAAAAGCTGATGGAAATTAACGAGGAAGGAAAATTAGTCATTCAATTCGTAGACTAACATACGAAAACAATGTATTCGGTCTTACCGAATGTTGACAATTCCTACTGAGAATATGTTGCTCCCTGATAGTTTAATGGAGCTTTCCCAAGGGTAGTAATTAAGATTGGACCACTTGAACCAAATGCAGGCTTTCAAGACAGACTTGTTGCAAATTCTGTGTAAAGGAGAGGTTACTGGAACGACTTAAAGTAAAACTGACTCATATAAACAGATGTGACGTACTGGTAGACGAGTCGGGGAATCCCCTGAAAACCCCCTAATTTCATATGCTGTTTTCGCTTTCAAATTTGCGTCACACAAGTGCAAGTTAGATGATTTCACGATGAACTATTGCGGCTTGATGTTCTATTTAAATATTCCATGAATACTCATCTGTTCACAACATTAAAATCATATTAATATTATTTTCATATCCTTTAGTTTCACATCACTCCGGCTGGTCATCCGAATAAATATGGATGTTTGTTACTTTTTTTAGCTTACTAGTCATTCACGAACAATTTGTTGTCCGCGACAAAATGCGTCGTATAAGAGATTTGCAAGAATCAAATAAAACAAGAAAAGTCAATTCATCAGAGGTTGTATGTACAAGCATTGCAAATATAGATTCCTACGAAAAATTAACCAGAGAAACAGTCTAACGGAGGCATGCATGTGAGTATATCTTGGCCCAAACAGAGCGTCACGAATTCAACGTCAGCGATTCAATCACGCTCGCATGCAAGGCTTTGATTTCAGACAATGAGTATCATAACTGGACTCTCCAGGTTTCCTTACAATGTAAATAAGTAAGAAGCTAATAGAAATTAACGATCATTCAATTCGTAGACTAGCACACGAAAACAAATGTATTCGGTCTTACCGAATGTTGACAATTCCAACAACGTCCTCACAATTCCTATTGAGAATATGTCACTCCCTGATAGTTTATTCAATGGAGCTTTCCCAAGTGTAGTAATTAAGACTGAACCACTTGAAATAAATGCGGTCTTTCAAGACAGACTTCAGCAAATTCTGTGTGAAGGAGAGGTTACTGGAACGACTGAAAGCAAAACTGACTTATATAAACAGATGTGACGTAATGGTGGGCGAGTCGGGAAAAATCCCTTGCACTGCATTTTTTTTTCCAACTCAGCGTATTATTTTGGGATGAGAATAGGAAACTTTGTAGATAAACCGGTAGAGTATCCACCCTTCGTGCATAAACTGTTTAAAGAGAAGATGAATTGGTCAGTTTCAGTTGCCCCCCTCAACAGTAACTATAAATCATTAAGATTAGCAATTCCTTTCGTTTTCATTCATATCACGTGCCCTTTACAAAGAACGATGTCACTAAAAGCGGAAATGGGGAGTGGGGAATGGGACTGGGGAATGGGACTGGGAGTGGGGAATGGAAAGGTAGAATGGAGAGTGGGACACGGGGAATTGGGAATGGGAATATGAAATGGGAAATTGAAAATGGAAAATTGTTTTTTTCTGCGTGGGATGTTCTTTTTGAGTGTTCTCTGGGACGACTTTACGAAAAACAAATATTTCCCTTTCGTCTGTCGATCTGTTACAAACAAAAGACGCTCTTTCAGCTTGAATTGAATTTTAAACGAAGATTTATCGCAAGGTTTGAAAATTGGGGAGTATCGCTTGGGTGATATCCTTAGATATCCCCCAGTTTTAGGTAGGTAATATTCGTTAACGTGAAGCGTTTAGACCAGTCATGAGCAAGCAAAAATATTTGATGGATCATAATAGAGGATATAACCCAAGTGATATTCATTAATTTTCAAGCTCTACGTACATTACGATAAGTCGATAAGTCCTCGTTAATTTAGCCCTGAATTAATTTAGGGTGAGAGAGCGTTTTGCGGTTGTTAAAAAAAGAGGGGAAATGTTTGTTTATACATAAAATCGTACTAGTGAACACTGAAAAGAAAACATTCCGCGCAATGAATGGTTAACTGTTCGTAAACATTTTTTATGTAATGTTGCAAATTATTTGAAGGATAATGAACAAAATAGCCCCCCTTTGGCACAGAAATATACACGCTTGTTCACACTTCAAGGGCGAGATTACTCATGTTTGCGGGGAACCCTTTGGAAGTTCAAGAGTTGGCTGCAAACTCGCATCCAATATTCGTGCAAATTTTCATCTGAAACCTGTTAGATTCGTTATCTGCTCGGCGCGTCTTTTGGTCGTCAAAGTAAAATTATTCTTTAATATGATTTTTCGATTTCTCAGCAGCTGAAAGTGAGAAAAGTGCTTTCTCTCGCCGAAATTTATCTCTTAAGCGAACCTCTATCACTATCAACAAAAATTATGGGTTTGTTTGTCGATCGGAGTTGAATAGTGACTTGGACTCTGAACAATTCAAGCATTATTCGGTCAACTTCTTTGAAACTTCTAGTTCGTTAATATTAAAATAAGCATTTAAATGGCCCTTTCATTAATCTCAGCATATTTAATTTACCTTATTACTTGTTTACTGATGAAATGAACAAGATTTAGTTTTAGAACATTCTTTAGGTGTCATGTATCACTTCTTTCTTTATCATCAATTTATTCCGTTCCTCAAATTTTGCCTACGAACGTTTTTGAAAGTGAGTGGATATCGGTAATCGCCGCTGAAAATTTTCTTTTCCGCATATCAAACAAAAAAAAAATATTGCACAAAAATAAAAAAAGGAAATTAATTTCTCCTTTTCAATTTCCCATTTTATTTTCCCTTTCCCCGCTCCCCATTCTCGCTTTTGAAAACATCCGTTGCAGGAAGTGCCTTTCGTCAAACGTTTTAAAATCTTATCATTTTAAGGCGAACATCAACAACAAAAACAAGATAAAAACAATAAGCGGATCTGAGAAGCTTCATTCGAGCGAAAAAAATACACAGCAACGATGAAAAAGGATACGACCTATGGTAACTTTTACTACAATACATCAAGTATTTCCGCTCAGATTTACCGCGCAGCAGGCTGATATTCTCGAGTATTCGCAAGTTTCTATTACAAAAAAGATGATTCGCGTCATCAGCGCATCTTTTCTGTTTTCACAGAAGGTCTTCTTTTTACCCACACAATTTAAGAAAAAGTTTAGGATTTAGCTCATATTACAATCAGTTCTCAATGTCCTAGAAATTGTAGATGAATTTATAACAAAAAGCGTTTAACGCGTTTTTCAAAGTTGCAGGAAAAATAGACACTATGAATAGATATAAATATTTGATGACATTGAAAATAACAAACTCGTTTAAGTTTCCCAAAGCGACTTTATTATTTTTTAAAGCAGCTGTAGCAACCGTGTCAATAAAGTTGTTTAAGAAAATCGTGCGATCTTCTTCTACTGAGCAAACAGGAGAAATGACTAATTTACGAATTGTGTTATTTCAATCAATCCTGGCGTTACAAGTTCAATTTTTGATGACCACGCGGCAATGTGTATCTACAAGTTCGAAATATGGATTTATCTTGGTAGGATCTGTGTTTAAATCGTTCCCTTCAGAAAGTCTTCATCTTTGTTATATCACCTGCCAAAAAAATCCGGTCTGCCAAAGTTTGAATTACAACGCTGCTGAAAATGTCTGCGAGCTTAGCACAGAGATGAGCAGAAGTCGACCTGAAAACTTTCAGCAAAGGAAAATGTTTGTCTACGCTGAGAAACTCCCTGATCTGAGTAAGTAGAGAGTCTTTTGCACGCGGTGATATGTTAATAGACTTCATTAGGATAAGAAATACTTGTTGAACAACTGAATCACTAACAGACTAATCTCAGCAGTCCTTTGGTTAGCTACTGGTTCAATTACCAAACCGAATCTTTTCAAAATTGGCTAATGCCGAAGAGATTCAGTTTCATTCCTCGATTGTAATGTATGTGTTAAAAGATAAGGAACTATCCAAGTGCAGACATCGTCTCTTTTTGATAGATTCACGGTAGATCAACATATGAGCTAAATTCCTTTTTCTTTATTCAGTTTCACTGTCTGATTCTAGGACACCCAAAAACATAACATTGGAAATTAAATTCTCGCAGGCCTTCATCAGTTACATGACTGATGAGCGGCATCAAAGAGCGAAACATTTGCTTTCCCAACGAGTGTTCCATCGGGTTCTCGCCTTTTGTCAAACCGCACTTTAATTTAAAGGATGATATTTTCATCATTGTCTGAAAATCAAATACTTAGGATGGAAAAGAATCACTAAGTCATGGATTGACAGCGCGCTCACGGGAGGAGTTACATTGACCTACGATGAAGAAAATAATGGGCTCACCATTTCAGGACGAGTGACGTCATCTGGCTGTGGATCTGCACCACCGTCTGGGGCCTTGACTCTCATTAAAGGATGCTGGACAATGATAAAGTATACCCAAGAATTTCGCGGAAGATCGTCATGCTGGAGCATTTTTGGCGATGAATGGTAAAGATTATGAATAATTCATCCGAATACTAAACAAAGATAATATACATAAAGAAGCAATTTACGACTTCACGACCAAGGGGGAAAAAATAGCTTGACTGTTTCATTAAGCTTGCTTGAAAATTTCAAACATTTTTTTATCGTTTTTGTAAAAACAAAAAAACAAAAAAAAGTTAAAACGAAAACAACAAAATTCAAACAAAAAAAGTAAGAAATAATATAAGGACTCGAACGTCACGTCTTATTTTTTATCTACACTGCCTTGCAATTATGATGTGTCAGGGGAAAACTTTTCGAGTGAAACATAGCAAACGAATGAAAAATTCGGCCTCAATTTCAGGTACGGTGGACTATATATCTCCAACACGTCGACAGGATTGTATCCGTTCAATGCAAAAGCAGGAGACGTCATTACAGATGAGTACCGCATGGGTTTAAACTGTAAGTGGCATTTTCTTTTGCTGAATTAATTTTAACGGAGGAATTAAATTTTGAATTTCCCGTGGAAAACCTTAGTGAGGCGATACTTGTTCTTGAGGTGCATTTAAGGTGGAATTGACAATTCAGGTGTTTCATTTTCCCTGGATCACAAAACTGTTTCATCTTAATAGCTATTTTTTTTGTCCCACACGCGCTCTATAGATAATCCAAAATCGATTGTCCGAAAAGAAAAAAAAGAAACGACCTGAATGCAAAATAAACGATTTAGACAAATTGAGATTTATCTTTTTTGTTTGCCGCAGCACACGCATTTGATGGTAAAACTAGAAGATGCGACAAATTGGCAACAAATTTCTGGAGAAGTCAAAAGGGCTTGCGGCGCGCAACGGTTGTTCTCAGAAGAAAACCGATGGCAGAGAAGGCTGGAATTTTCACTGGTACCTCGTGCGGGACACCAACATACAAGATCAGGGATATTTATGTATACTTTTAGATTACCTTTATTGCACGGTGGACGCTGAATTTCAAAACATTCGCATCCTTTTGGACTCTTTTCTATTTCAGAATATGATGTAGGTTGAAACTAAAGCACTATTAGGCACTATTAAGCGAGCTTTTCAATGGCGTTAATCGCTAAAAAGCTGTTAAACAGCCATCAAATTAGCCATTAGGCCGTAAACATTGAACAATTTAAACCGTTTGTCGTAAAAATAGTTGACCGTAATTTTTTCCTGTCTTCAATACCATTTTGAAGTAACCGATAGCAATGATTTGGCCGAAAATGTACTGAACCATTGGCGGTAAAAGCCATCGTCACATTGTGCCCCTTTCGAACCAACAAGAAAAGTAACAACAGTGGAAAATCAGAGCGGAATAAGCTTTCGCTGAGAAAAAGGCATTAACAGAAACATGCTACACGTCGCAGCTTATAACACACAGAAGAAGTATATGATGTGCAATACTTTCACCTTTCATCATTTTTGTTAAAGGACATAATTCCCTTTCAGTTTAAGTAATCAGTAGCTTTTTGTTCATCCCATTTATATTTAATAAAACTCCATGAAAAGCAAAAAAAATTGTAATGATAAATAAATAAATAAATGAATAAAAAAAACCCAGAAAAAATCAAAGTTAATTACCTCCATCTCATTGTTTGCAGAAGATAAAAAGGAAAGACATGATTTGCCGCTCAATGTTGATGTCACATGGATTGGTTCCTTGACTCATTAATAAATGAGGGATTCAAACTCGATGAAATTTCTGTCTAAAAAATCAGAATGCCTTGTTTATCTGCCGGTTGCTTCAGTAATAACCATTACTCATTCCAAGTTTGTTATCAAAAACGTTAAAAAAAGTCGCTGATTGCCAGGTTTGATGACCGACACAATTTATCAAACAGATTTTACCCCTCATTAGTCAAGGTTGGAGTGTTGCCGTGTTATTAGACTACTCAAATATTAAAATGATGTGATAAGTCAGTCACGAATAAGATCTCTACCTAAAATGCTTTGCCTGGTTTACAGTTAGTGCCCTAGCCGTTCTCTAAGCACTTTACAACAGAACAGAACACAATCAAGGCTCCTCTAATTGTTTTATGATAAAGAATCCGTTAAGTTCCCCTCGCAGTTCTTTCAATTTGCAAAACAAACCTTATTTCCAAAGCGAACTGTGTCGCATGCTCTATACTTTCATAAAGTACGCTACAATAAGCCAGTCAGAATCCTTACGTCTTGTGAGTCTCCATGAGGAATCGAACCTCAGACATTCGGATTCCGCGCTCCGATACTCCATTATTGAGCCACAGAACTTCATATATGACACCTGCATACTACTAGGATCAGCAATGTCGATAGCGTCATGTTTTGTAGATAGAATTAAAAAGATGTTAAGTTTTAAGATCGGTAAAGAAATAGAGAAAGACTTGTGGGGACTCAGCAATTTTTCGACAAGACGAAAAACGTCTTTTTTTTACCGAGCTTAAAATTGACCATCTTTCTCATTCTATTTAAGACTGCAGCGGTCAAAAATTTCAAACCGTCAAAATTCACAAACCAGCAAAGTCCACAATCTGCAATAGTTTACAACTGGAATAGTTCGGCAGGTCGAATTTAACACTTTCGCTTGAAGTTTTTTAGTCTCTAATACAGAATCTGAAAGTGAAATGTTCAGTCAAATCTGGCTGAATTGTCGCTCATAAAAACACGCAAGTTTAACACAACAACTATAAAACAAACTTCTCAGGGTGTGTGTTTTATGAATGAACGACAGCCGAATGCATAGGGATATGAAATTGTACTGTATGACAGCGCTATAAAGCTCAGCTGCTGTGACTGATGTAGCCTTCCACATCAGCTTGTATTATTATACTCATAAATAACCTGAAAACTGAATCATGGTTAGGGATTTGAGGAAAATGAAGAACTCAATAGATTAATAATTAGATAAAAACATTTTAAAAAAAATAGAAAAGAAAAGAAAGAACAACTTACAGCTCCTCAAGAATTGAATTTGTCCAAGTACGTGAAAACGTGAATCAAGTTCAAGCGACCGTATGTCACGCTTCTTAGATCACTTTTTTCTAAAGCCTCCAATGCAAATTTAGTTAGTTTTGCTGGGCTTCTTGTTGCGAACAGGTGATCGTGTCGATCGCCAAGAAATGAAATACGAGTGGGGGAAGATTCCGTGACATCACCTTCTACCTCACTGTTTCTAATACCTGGCTGTAAACGTTGCGCTAGAAAACGGAACGTTTTCAACTTTTCAAAACTGTCTCTGAATGTATCTGTGCAGACTACAACCGTGTTGGTCAAAAAGTGCAGTTTTCCTGCCGACGAAAAAATTTAACTTGTGAAAGATCTTCATCTTTCTTTTGCGATCTAATTTCTACACTGTAGGTGCATTCGAATATTGTGGCTACTGGTTTCGTTATCCGCAGTTGAAACTGTCAGCACAAAAGAGCGAATTTGTTCAATAGAAAACGACAGTTCAAACGATATACAAAACTGAATCTAAAGAAAGTTCATTGACCTAGATACAACTGAGGAAGTGGGCTTTTCCACTATGTCGATGACGAAGATAACCCAGAAGTTGTGCATTGCTGATGACCGAAGAATGCGATAACAGCGACTTCGGCTTTCACTGATCACGAGTACAATTCCATGCGTTTGCGAACGAATGCCTATCGCCATACCACCAACATAATTCTCAAATAGCATTTCTTTTCCTATTGAATTTTTTTTTTCATCAAATAAAATCGAATTCCACTACAATTCGAGAATCCGAATACCCTTTCGTTTCTGTCAAAGGGTAGTGCAAAGTTAGAAACGCTAATCAAAGCTTAGGAAATAGCTGCATAATATTATATCCAAGCTTCGGTTCTTCAAACAACAAGATACGTATAGGATGACGTGCTGCTACTTTTGACCACAAAATTACAAGACACAATAACCCTGGTTCGCAAACTCAGCTCAACAAAAATAGGCTCTGCTTGCCAGCCCCATAGGAAAATATGAAGGTTAAACTGTACTTCCGATTTTCTCAGAAAGGTGTGTGATTGTCAGAAAAAGATTTTGTTTCTAGTGAAAGTAATTACAAAAGCACTGTATATTGCGGCAGCAAGGTGCTTTAAATAACACGGGGAAACTACATGTTCAGTCTTATGCTTAAAAACGAAAGAAAGGTAAAATCTGGTTTCTCGTTACATAAGCTATTTCAAAGGAACACTCAACTGGTCTGTTATATAGACTATCTTTAGGTATCTGCCTGAAGAGTATTTGCAAGTTCGTAAGCTGTTTTGTTTTCGTGTCAAGTGTGCGATAAAAAGAGACTCGGATGCTTTCACTTCACGTTTGTTAGTCTCAAAATGCACATTATTTAATTTTTCTTTTTTTTTTTCTTTAATTTTCATTCCGATTACCCCCAAAAAAAACATTAACAAAGCGGACAATAAATTACAAATATAATCTAAGATACAATACGTGCAGCAATTCTATGATTTACGTTACCTTACCTACAGTTCTACCAAGCGTTGGTTACAATACTTCTGATTGAGTCACGTTACTAAGTGGATTAGGTTGACTCTGATGTTTCTAATTTGGTGACGTTACTTAAAATATTTCACTCTTTGCTGTACTTTACATTACTAACTTATGCTGCTTACTCTTATCCTTGCATTACTACAAGTACAAGTTTTACAATGCCTTTTTAAAATAGAATTACTAGAAAGCTAGATTAAAATCTAATTAACATACATCTTGAAAACAAGGTTCTACACTTCCATTTAGCCCTTTCCTAAAGCAACAATTGAGAGTTCAATAAAATGATAGACAGCATTGATGGTACGAAAGAGACAGACATGACAGAGTCCTGAAGGCTATTCGAGTATCTTGTTCAATTTTGCTTCGCTGTTTAGGATGCTTCTCAACCGATTCTCCATCTGCTCAATTGTTCCTTTCTTGAAATCATCCAGAACGTTAACACCACGCAACCAACAGTGGGGAAGATTTCTGCTCGCCATATGAAATTGTAATTCTGTAAGAAATCCAAGGAAATGTTTCCCCAAAGCGTCTCCACTCTCCCAGTCCAGGCCTCCTTTCTTAATGTAGTGCATGAAGGCGGTCTTCAAATGGTATGAATCCAGTGGTAAAGATGTCACAGGCCTCTTGACTACGGTCTTCACGATTCGTAAGAGCTCGTGCCTACAGCCATGGTCTTTGCTGTCCATCGACGCTAGGAGTTGCTTCTCCTTCGGTGAAAATGTCTTTCTCCAGAGAAGCTCGTTGTTTAACACATATCGGTTTCCCTCAAAAGGCTTGGGCACATACCAGCTCTCCTCGACTTGGAAGCTAGGGACGAGATCAACTGATAATAACTTCTCTTTAGATCCTTTCCTAAAAATGTCCACTTGGACAGCCGGCCCGTGGGTACGCACAACCAGACGAACGTCAGAGAAAGGTGCTTTAGGTTTGATATTATTCACTGCCAGGCGAACAAGGCTGTGGAACCAACTATCTCGAAGGCTCTCAGCGTCAATGTAACCTTCTGGACTCAAATATTTGCTGAGCATCGGAGCATTTCTTGCTCTTAGACGAACATACCCGGGCACTCGGGAATCTATAACCTCGATTCCTGCTGAGCTTGGCGTTCCCAGTATTACCATGATATCGGCTTCATCAGCAGCTTCAGTCTTCAGCCCCTCGTAAAAACTGCCAGTATACTCCAACTTTAATATCTCAATCGTAGAATTCTCTTGACAGTACACTATGATCTGGTCTTCAATGTAATCTTTGACCAACCTTTTGGCGCGCGTCGTAGTTTCTTCAGAAATCTTCACATATTGTACGGAGAAATCACGAAGTTTCTTCGTTAAAGGTGAAGTTAGTGCCATGATCTGATACATGAGGGAAAAGATATTTGTGTAAATAGAATGTGGATGATGGAAAAGAGAAATGCATTCAGTGCTCTTCGTGCATGTGAGCTGAGTCAGAGTGCTATATTACTCTGCTCAGGAAATAATACAGAAAAACATTCACAATTGTGATAATAATTTTCCCTTCCTTCCTTCCTAAACTGCATCCTCTTCTTCCTTACTTTTATTCACTGCTCTGCTTTACCCGCATAACCTGACCCAAACCACTCTCGTTTTTTTCACTCCGCCGCTACAATCACGCCGCTTAACATTTCGCTCCGTTTTAGCGCGCCTGAAACAAGCATTTTCGAATTCTTCTTCCTATTTTAATTGTATTTTTTTAAATTTTCCTTTTTAATTAAGACGAATACCCGCATACCCTAAGTGTTCATAAATCTAGCTACTAGTGAAAATCAGTATTTGCTGCCCTGTAATTTCCGGCGATGGGTATTTAATTTGATGGGTTTATACCACGTCAATTATTCCGCCTTGATATAGTCATGGCGGACCAAAATTACAAGTCACTAAACTAGTGCCCCTGTTCTGTTAACTCGGTTCGTCAAAGACCCCAAAATGGCATCAATGCTTAAAAAGCATATCAAATAGCAATAATTCATGTTTAACTTGAACTTCTTAACAGCAAACATCGCAAAAAAAGATCTAATCTACAAGTAGAAGGGAAAGGTCACGATCCAAGGGTTTGAGAAGAAATTATGCAAATAAATTAATGCCGACTTCCTGTTTTCTCAGAAAAGCAGGTGGTTCTCAAAAAAATAAGCTCGTCTTATGAAAGTAAAAACCTCAGTCCCGAAGCATCTGAGTGAAATGTAAATTTCCCAGCTCATAATGACAGTTTCTATCGCTTGGCTCCAATTATGATAGCCATGCCTACCCATTGCAGATATACAATTATTACTGGAAAACGTTCAAAGGAGCAAGCTTGAGATGCTTGTATGTATCACCTAACAAAGCGTGTTGGGGCGAGTATCCACACCAACATAAGCAGACATATCGACATAATTACAGGGCTTTCATTGAAGGCTCTGAATGAAATAAAAACCAAAAAGGACCTCTTACGAGTGAGGCTTGTTATTCACTGAATCATATGAATAATCGATGGTAACGAAGAAAGGAACAGAAACTTACACAATAGGTTGATCATTTAACACAAGAAAAATGCTTTCGATCTTACCTATAGAGAGGAAATTTTCGATCCTTATTTAAATCCTGTAAAGAATGTGTTGCTTTGTAATAGCGCCAGCCGTTGAAGCTTTTCC